AGGGCTGCTGAGGGAGCGGGGCGGGGCTCCTCTCAGCATCGGGCGCCACCCTCAGAGCCTGCCGACCTTCTGGGCCGCGGGCCCGGGTGTCCTCCGCCCACTGTGGCCGCGGGTTGTGGGCAGGGGGGAGCGCTACCGAGCTGCCCCGCCGGGGTAACGCACCTGCGGAAGGGAGGAGGCGTGTGGAGCTGTGCGTGCCCTTACCGCGTTGGAGTCGGGACGTTGTTGTTGTTGTGGTGGTGGTGGTTTATATTTATTCCGATAGACTGCGGTGCCCTACTGCAGTAGGCGCGGTCCCGCAGCGCTGGCTGAGTTTTGCTGGAGGATGGGCGCGTTTGTCAAGGCGTGTAGGAATTGCTGCGGGGCCTCGCCAGCCACACTGCTGCTCCTTCACCCTCTCGAGGGTGTATGTAAGGCTGTACGGGCAGAGAGGCAACATATGCAATAGCAGTTCAATAAGAAGAAGAAGGAAAAATAACATCTGTTATTTACCTTCTGCAAATGGCTGTGTTTTGCCTAGACCTATGAGCTCTCTCTAAAGCACTTAGGTAAGCTTCCTTCCACAGTAAATTTCTCATTTACTTAGATCAGAAACAGTACCATGAAAATCAGAGCTCAGAAAGAGTTATTTACAGCAAGGAAATTAATTCCCTGTATTTTGAGGGGGTTTGTATGTTTTTTCAAATAGTTTCCCTGTCTAGATATTTGCTGTAGATTATAGCTCACATTTGAATTGTGGCTGACTGAAAAATGTATTCATTACTTACCTGTATTATGGGTTTCATATTAGAACTGAGTAGGATTTTTTAGAGACACTTTATTCATCAAAAAATGTGCATTTGCTTGTTAAGTAGTTAATTGCAACTGCATTCTTTTTGTTGAATGGTTTCATTCAGGAACATTTTGGGAGCTGCAGTGTTGCTGGCTCACAGCATGTACAGAAAAGAATCTGCTTTTTCTCTGTTTTGGGGACACGCATCAGAGAACTGGGAGCAGATTTTTTTTTGCATTTGGCACAGAAGTCTTGGAGGGTGTCCTAACTGGTAGGCTATTCAGGGGACAAAAGGTATTTCTATCTGTGTGGTCTCAGCTATTCATTTTTATCGGTTTACACTGTTCTACTTCGCATAATACTACAATGGCATATAGGCTGAGGTGTCCAGTGGGAGAAGCATAGTAACAAACTAACCTTGAGAATCGTTTTTTCCTCTGCCTGTATAGGTCACTAGATATTTACATATTATATAGTAAACTGGACATCTTCAACGGCAAGGTTCAAGAGATTTCTCCATTAACTTGCCATATGACATCATTAAGTCCTAAACCTGATGATTAGGGTACTTCTGGGATAGGGCATGAGGGTGGTTGTTGCTCCTTCGTAAATAATTGCTTACTCACTACTGCTGTTCTACTTTAGAACAGGAGAGATCTGTAACATCATTTTATCTCCTTCCTTTTATGTGTCTTGTATGATAATGGTTGGGATACTTTTACAGAAGGTTATACCACCTTATCCTTTGTTGTGCCCAAAATATCCTCTGGAAATCCTAGGAGATAGAAACTTAATAAAATCACTGGGTCTGAAATCACTTGATATTCCATGGAACTACAAGTCTAAGCAAAAGTATGTATGTAGGTACTTCTCTAAGTTTTTTGTTTCAGGAAGGTTATTGCTCACAAAGAGCTGTTCTTGCTGTCTGACTATTACTCCCAGGATTGTTTGCGATTCTTCTGTTGCTTCTTTGGACAGAATATATTTTATTATTTCTGATCCTTTGAATAAACTGTTTATTGTCAGAACAGGATGCATTGCAGTTTATTTGCTGGAGTGTCTAAGTTTAATGATATTGGTTAAATAATACTAGTTTAACAAATAGGAGGTTGCAGGTCTCTCAACTGTTTTTTGTCTGTTTCTGACAGTCTGTTTTCAGACAAATCTTCTGTTTTCATCTGAAGTTAATAGAAATTGTGAAGCTGTCCGCAGTGACTGTTTATCTGGATTCTAAAGAGGAAAAGGTAGGTAATTCAATTCTAAAGGGTTGTGAAGTTAATAAAACGGAAAAGCTACCTTAGCTATTGTTGTATATAGTGTGACTGTGTGACATTGCCTGAGCTAGCAAAAGAATTGATTTTCCTTATCAATAATTTAACATCTTGAAAATAAGCTTGAAACTCTTCAGAGAATTAAGGTTTGGCTCAAAAACATGTTTGGCTTCATATTCGATACCAGCTTGCTTAACCTGATTTGTCATGTACTGTAGATTTTAATGCAGGAAGGAGGGCAGTCTTATTAAAGTTATAAATCTGTTGTTCCTGAAAAATGCTGCTTTTATTTATACAAGCCACCAGGAGCCACTTTTAGAAAATGCTAGGAGATAAAAACTAAGAGAACTGCTGGGACTGAAGCTGATTGATTCTGGTGCACATGAAGATACAAAGAGTGTGAAGAAAAATGTGGAGTCAGCCATAACTGTACATGAAATATTAACTAAATAGGAATGTCTGTATACATATATATGGATATGTGTATAAACACTTTTTTTCCGCTACCTACCATGCATTTGGTTTACACAGTCTTAAAGATGGTTCCATCAGATATTTCAGAAACAGGGTCACATCTATATGTGTTTCTGTTGCTTACTCATGAGAGGGGATGATAAGCCTGTTCTGAAATGTTAATTTCTGCCGTCTTCATCTTCCGTAACAGAGACTACTTCAGCAGCACTGGGACATATATTCCATAAAGTACCTCACATGCCCTATCATTACCTAAGATTTACACAGCAGTAGTAGCAGTGAAAGGACAATGACACTGGGGCCTTGTTATGCAAAGTGCTCTGTGGTCTAATGGAGGTTTTTACCATCTGAAAACCAAAGTAC